TAACACAATACTTAATGTACCTGTAGATGTATAATGTTAACACAATACTTAATGTACCTGTAGATGTATAATGCTAACACAATACTTAATGTACCTGTAGATGTATAATGTTAACACAGTACTTAATGTATCTGTAGAAATTTCCCTATATATTACATAACAGACATACCGTACTTAAATTCAACTTACAAAAACAAAATTCAATAATCTCTTAACTTTCATCATGAAAGCCTTTTATAATACTGTTCACAATGTTAGCTGAAAAAAACTATAAGAGCTAGAACAATAATAACAAGGTTTTATGTTCCTCTTATAAGTAGTACTGTCCAGCTCAGTCAACCTACCTTCTGTTTGTATAAGTTTTAGAGGCCAAAACCAACCTGAAGTTGAGCTTAATGACTAGTTACTAATACAAACAAGTGTAACACTAAACTCTGCCCTCTCGCAAACAGTCTGAGGTGTTTCTTAAGCCTTCTGACTTAGTAAAGTCAATTTGAGCATAAGAAAGAGGGTGTTCTTCATTATCCTCTGTTACAAGCAGTTGACTGCTGGAAATAGCATGAGGAGACTTTGGTGTTTTATCCAATTCTGTGGGAGTAGATGCCAAGTCCAAAGAAGCATAGTTAAGTTCACAGTCACCACCTGCTGATGGACCAAATGATATGTTTTCATAAGTAGCTTCTGCAAGGCTGTGCCTGTCCTTTGCTCCTGTAAGCTGAGAGGAAGAAGCAAGAATTGGCATGGGACTACTATGGCCAGAGCTACCTTCATCCACTAAACTGGACAAACTGGACTGACTACTTCGATCGGGCGAGCGACTTTTAATAGGAGGTGTAGGAGAGCCAGATGTTGGTGCAAGAAGAGACCTGCCAGCTAAGACTGGAGAAATTGCCGGTGATTTATGTAGAGCAGGACAGGAACTCTTTCTTACATCAAATTTCAATGCAAGAGGTGCCACTGGAGCTGACATCTGCTTCCTTATGGTGGACTGAGGAGATCGGGAAGGTAAAGATTTTCTTGTTTGTCCATTTGGAGTTTGTTTATTCTTTGTTCCTACTCGCGGTAAACTCCGGTTCCCGACACCACTACTACATGAAAGAGATCTATTGGTACTTGGACATGGCACTGTAACCCGTTCGGTGACTAGTGTCTGCACTGCAGCCATCACCGTGTAGTCGCTCACAGAAGGTGACAAACTTGGGGAAACACTTAGAGGTGGTGTTTTTGTGGGGGTTCCAAGTTGAATGTTCTCATACTCAGGAACACTAGTAGGTTTGGGAGCAACAAAAGAAGCACTAACACTGCTTGCCACAAAATTAGTTCGGCTTAAGTCCAAGTTCACATAATCTCCATAGATGTTTGTGGGCTCAGATTTGGGCTCCTTACTACTTTTAACTGATGACACATCTGTCCTAATATCTGTTGTATATTTCTGATTTGTAATTGATGTACTCAGAATTTTATCATTCACGGTTATTTTCTGAGTCTTTGAATCATTCTCTGTGTATTTTTTCTCCATATTCATATAGCCTGTATCACAGGATTTCCTAGAAGAAGCTAAGTTTATGTCTTTATCTGGTAAAATACTTTCAGAATTAACCATCTCAACATATCCTTTGTTTAGAGCCATTTCAATATAATTCCCACTAGCTTTAGTTCCATAAGTCATGCAAACATATCTCCTTCTTTCTGCTCTCTCATCAACATTGTTAATCTTGTTTTCTGGTTGCTGTGAGGAATTAGGTAGCAAAGGGGTGGGTGAAGTTCCAAATGAGGGGTGGGAACTAGATTGTTGTTGTTTAAAGGTTTTACCGGCATCTGGTTGCTCCTGATCTGGAGTCACTTCTACCTTTGGTGCTGGACTGTAGTCCATCTCCATCAAGTCATCACAGTAATTCCCCTTGCCTGCAGAAAGTTGAGACCTACTGGGAAGAAGTGGTGCACTGGATGACTTGGAGTTTTTTTCATCCATAAATTTTAAAGTTCCAAGCTCAGATTCAATTGTGTCCTGACGCTTAGCCATACCCTTTGTTGCCTGACTCCCGACAGAAAAGGCACGAACTCTAAACTGGTCCAGATGCACTCCTAGGCGGCTTTTTTGGAGCTGAAAAGCAAATGAAATACTCAAAAGTTTTCAAAGAATTTGAAAAAATATTGTAATTTTATGCAAATAGAAAATATATAAGGAAAGTGGAAAACACTCCTAGCTACTAAGAATAAAGCAATCTGGTGGCATTTTTAGACTTAAAGTCACTTAAAAAGTTTAAATGCAACAGAATCTTGTAAAATTTAAGCTTTGGTTTTACAGTTTTCTAAGTTGTATATTATGATAAATTTGATGAAGTTAGGGAGGGATTGTTATTTTAACTGTTATATTATGTTGAACTGGAAGTGTTAAAAGACTTATGTAATGTTGAAGTGGAAGTTTTAAAAGTTATGTATTAGGTTGGAGCGGAAGTTTTAACAGTTTTGTGTTATATTGAAGCGGAAGTTTTAACAGTTTTGTATTATATTGAAGTGGAAGTTTTAACAGTTTTATGTTATACTAAAGTGGAAGTTTTAACAGTTTTGTGTTATACTAAAGTGGAAGTTTTAACAGTTTTATGTTATACTAAAGTGGAAGTTTTAACAGTTTTGTGTTATACTAAAGTGGAAGTTTTAAAAGTTTTGTGTTATACTGAAGTGGATGTTTTAACAGTTTTATGTTATACTGAAGTGGAAGTTTTAAAAGTTTTGTGTTATGTTGAAGTAGAAGTTTTAACAGTTTTGTGTTATACTAAAGTGGAAGTTTTAACAGTTTTATGTTATACTGAAGTGGAAGTTTTAAAAGTTTTGTGTTATGTTGAAGTAGAAGTTTTAACAGTTTTGTGTTATACCAAAGTGGAAGTTTTAAAAGTTTTGTGTTATGTTGAAGTGGAAGTTTTAACAGTTTTGTGTTATTTGGATGTGGAAGTGTTAAAATTTTGAGGTTATGTTGAAGTGGAAGTTTTAACTCTTTTGTGCTGTTTTATCTCCAAGGGGAGGATTTAATTTTAGATATTTAATGTTTATTTATTTAATATGTGACTACTTCTATGATCTGTAAGTGTTGTCAACATATACAACTGAGATATATAAAGATGTAATATATTCAAGAACAGGTTATATTGAAACAAGTATTAATAAACTATTACTAATAATGATAAGATCATTCTTGCTATAACAGGTAGAACTGTGTAACCAGTAGAGTTAGAATAAGGTTATCATCACATAAATGAAGTCCATATTTAATATGATCTAGTGTAGAGAAAACTAAGTGTTATTATATAATGACTGCTCTTTGTGCCATCTACAGAATCAAGAAAAATCCCTTAGATATATTTACAGCTCTAGAATTAATTTTCACACAATTCAGAGATTGAACAATGAAAATGTAATTTTCAAAACATCAGATTTTTTATTCTTCATAAGAACTACCACCTCTTTAAGAACAACAAGAAGTGGCCTAATGGTTAGCGTGCTGTGCTTCAGATCAGAAGGTCCAAGATATGTCAAGGGACATGCTTCCCACTTTCAGATGTGGAGGCATTATATTTGTCACAGTCAATCCTACACATCTGATGGGTAATACTTCCTATTTGCAATAGTTATAAATTAAAAATGGCTATGTCTTTATTTAAGAAGATTCTGACCTATACATAAAGGTCCCTTTAAAATTAAAAATAATAACAATATTTTATTATTTCTGTTTTTTATAGTTTGCAATTCTTCTTATGGGAAGTTAAGGTTAATTTTTTTTTGTTCTGACTTTAAATGGCAATGATGAATAAAAACTGTTTCATCAGAAATTGGTGTCTGAAAATATGATACATTTTCTAAGACATTTTGATAACGATTCTTTATTGTTATATACTTGAGCTAGATAACTCAGATAGCCTTTCTATAAAGAATCAAAGCTGGAAAACAAAACAATTAGTACATTAGACACCTAAGCATTTTCACAGTATTTGATTTTCAAAGCTTCAACATTTTTTTTCTCTATTTTTTTCTGAGGTAAAAGAAAGGACCAATATTTGAAAGCAAATCTAAATAAAAATTTTATGCAGAACTGATTGCTTAGGGATTTAACATTATTGAAATCTAAAAAGAATAGCCATTTAATGAACACACTCTTACAAAACTCCATATTAATGTGAAGAATTTTTACACTGATATTCACAACAATAAAAAAACTAATCTTAAGCACTGCTCTTACTTGGGGACGACTACCAATCGAATAGGCTCTAACTGGTTTGATGTGATCACTGAAGTCATCTTCTGATGGAGAAAAGTATGATTTGACCTGAAATTATGAACAGAACTAAGGTCAATATACATGATAGACAAGCTTAAGAAAATACTATGACTAGATTTAGTACAAGCATACTTATTTCTCGGTTTTCTCTCACAAGTGTTACGGTTTAAAATCCAATTAAAGTTTATTTCAACCTTGTGGTAAAAATTTAATTCTAGCAAATGGTTTAAGATATGATGAGTTTCTTTTAAAGATTATTTATTTAAAAAAAGGCCTCAAACTACACCAATTTCTAGTTCTGCAAATTTTAACATACTAGTCTGTATGCTTTTGTTTCTAACTACTAGGTATGTTTTGGTTAACAGATTATGGTTTGTTAACAGTAGCTAGTATGTGGGATCATTAACAGATAATGTTTTGTTAAAAGTAACTAGTATGTGGGTTCATTAACAGATTATGGTTTGTAAACTGTAACTAGTATGTGGGCTCATTAACAGATAATGTTTTGTTAACAGTAACTAGTATGTGGGTTCATTAACAGATTATGGTTTGTTAACAGTAACTAGTATGTGGGTTCATTAACAGATTATGGGTTTGTTAACAGTAACTAGTATGTGGGCTCATTAACAGATTATGGGTTTGTTAACAGTAACTAGTATGTGGGTTCATTAACAGATTATGGTTTGTTAACAGTAGTTATTATGTGGGCTCATTAACAGATTATGGTTTGTTAACAGTAACTAGTATGTGGGTTCATTAACAGATTATGGTTTGTTAACAGTATTTATTATGTGGGCTCATTAACAGATTATGGTTTGTTAACAGTAACTAGTATGTGGGCTCATTAACAGATTATGGGTTTTTAACAGTAGTTATTATGTGGGCTCATTAACAGATTATGGGTTTGTTAACAGTAACTAGTATGTGGGCTCATTAACAGATTATGGTTTGTTAACAGTAACTAGTATGTGGGTTCATTAACAGATTATGGTTTGTTAACAGTAGTTATTATGTGGGTCCATTAACAGATTATGGGTTTGTTAACAGTAACTAGTATGTGGGTTCATTAACAGATTATGGGTTTGTTAACAGTAACTAGTATGTTGGTTCATTAACAGATTACGAGTTTGTTAACAGTAACTAGTATGTGGGTTCATCAACAGATTATGGGTTTGTTAACAGTAGTTATTATGTGGGTCTATTAACACTTATGGGATTGTTAACGGTAGTTAGTATATGGGTTTATAAAGAGATTATGAGTTTGTTAACAGTCAAATTGAATAAAAGGATAGGTTAGTACATTTGATGTTGTGTAACTATTTTAAAAGTACAATAATTTGGATGTAGTCTTATGGTGCAGAGTAAGTCAGTGTTAAAGAGACTAACTTACTTTATCCAAGTGGAACTCCTCTTGTTTAGTGGCTGTCACTAAGTTTTGAAAGGTAACATCTTGCAAACTCTGGGTGTTTCTCCTAGGACTGACCATCTCAATGTAACCTGCAACTAGTCCGAACATTAATGATGTTCACTCACATAAGTTATTGGAATATATTAACCTACACATTATATGTTTAACATTAAGTAATACCACTAATATGTAATATATTCACCTACACATTATATGTTTAACATTAAGTAATACCACTAATATGTAATATATTAATCTACACATTATATGTTTAACATTAAGTAATATCACTAATATGTAATATATTCACCTACACATTATATGTTTAACATTAAGTAATATCACTAATATGTAATATATTCACCTACACATTATATGTTTAACATTAAGTAATATCACTAATATGTAATATATTAACCTACACACAATATGTTTAATACATACCACAAGTGTTGGGTTTAGGAAGTGACGAGGAGATATGCTCCATATCTAAATAACCTTCCTCTGTAGCCCCTGATGTATTTGATGCTAGATTTTTCAAGGAGATTTCTTCTTGTGGTGCCATTGGTATGTACCCATCAGGTGTATTCAATTGTGATACATGTGTTACTGGTGGCTCTGAAGCGTTGCTTGAACTCCGAGATGTAGCAAGAAATTGATCTGTCAAAAATGACTTTCCAGGACTCATAGGAATGTAACTCTCTACAGAAAAATCAGATTTACATTCATCATTAACTTTTTAAACTATGTTCATATGAATGTAATTCTCTAAACACAATCACACTGCAAGCAGTACTGCGTATTACTATTACTACAGGTCTCTTAAAATTCATTCAATATTCCATTTTAGCTATGTTTTAAAACATTCTAAAATAACAGATAATAGATTGTTATATGGAAATTTCCATTCATATTATATAACTTTAAACTTGTGTCATCTAGAGATTTATAAAGTATACTGAAAAAACATTAAGAAATTCAACAAACATTGTTTAACTTCCTACCTTGAACAGATAATCTGTTATCAACAGGAACGGAGACACAATATTCAAACATACATTGTTTAACTTCCTACCTTGAACAGATAATCTGTTATCAACAGGAACGGAGACACAATATTCAAACATACATTGTTTAACTTCCTACCTTGA